GATAGAAACTTCAGTACTCAAAATAAACAAGAACTACATCGAGAGGTTAAGAAACCTCATTACATCTGGAGAATCACTAAATCAAGTGATCTAGAATAACTAATAATAAAGCAGCAAAATCCTGAAAAAAGCACAGAGACACATACATCTAAGGCAACACAGTCTTGGATCCTTAAACATGCTGTAATATAAAAACAGGCATTCTGCTAATAAAAAACCAATCCCCTCAAAACGGTACAGAAATGAAATATTGGGCCTAACAGATATAGTACCACTGAACTCAAACAGAGACCTGGAACCATGTACCCAATCAATGAGGAATATATATTGTGCAATCAAAATGCAGCAGGGTCCGCTGTTCTACCGACACAAATGACAAATTTCTCAACTGTTTTGGTTGTTGGATAAAGACTAGCAACCTTAGTTTGTCTAGGCAAAGCACATATGATGCTTTCTCTTTGTTTTTCTTTACTTTTGTTCACTACTCTTATGGTACTTTGAGCTACATGTGCTGCTTTCAGTTTTTTTGGGTTTATTTTTTGCCTGTGGCAGGGCACTGAGATGTTCAACCCTCCCCCTTTCAAAAATGAGTTAGGATATATAGGGAAAGCAACCGAAAAGAGACATAAAAACAAGCAGGTCACACTTCTTTGGTCTGCTCTGGTCAGGAACATAATCAAAGGAAAAAAGTACACCTATACCTCATAGATACTAGATAAAAGAAAAGGCAAAACATATATTTGTCGAGGAAGGTGTAATCCGTACGAACCATTAGAGGCAAGATATCAGAGACATTCAAATAATCAAAATTGGTGTTCCTATACACACCATTTCAAAAGTCTGACCAGAATCACATGGTCTTGGACACAACAAAACACTGCACATAAAGCGGTTATCGACAAAAGAGATTACAAACAAAGGATCAGCCGGTCTTCTATCTTCTGTCTTCACCAAGGTTCACCAGTAATGTAAATAGCACTAACAACTGATTTGCTCACATTTCACAATATCTTGGTTAGTTTCATTTTCAGCCTCTAAGAATTGCAGCAAGATCTCATTCAGGTCGAAATTTCTAATAAAACTCAAGATAGTGACATTACAAGTGAACCCTTCAAAAGCCTACAAACAGAACTAGAGGTTCAGGCTTTGGACTATTCAAATCAATCAGAAAAGCACAATTCGCAAACCTAAGTCTAAATAGAAATAATCATCGACCATAGTTATCCACAGCACCAAGAACATATTCAGGAGCAAGGCTTTATTCCTAAATGTTTTTAATATGGAGAAGAAAAACTAAGGTATAAGAATCACATATCGGTTATCGAGGGATTATCATAGTGGACACTCAAAATGTGGAAACCTTTGCATTTTATAGGTCATACTCGCTATATCGTGATCAAAGAAGGAAACAACACGGGTGTGAATCATGCTGCAAACTACTGCAATTGCACAAATGAAGCTCGATACCTCCGGAAATATGACTATGCATGGAAGGAATAAAGGTTAGCACGGTTATTCAATGATATCTGCTAATATTTAAACGAGGGCAAACACAGACAATGAGAATTTGAGTCCACCGAACACAAGCAAAAGACATTATCTATCAGAAAAATTCCCATTTCATACCTCAAATACTAGGGCGTGTCCCACCGATTGAAATTCGCTATTTGGCTCTCGTCAAATTGAATCTACGAGTTCTTCAAATCAAATAAGGGAAGCAAGATAAAGAAAAATCATACAACTTCGAATCACATAACCCATTTACATGGAAATTGAGATGTACCTCGGGAAATATTCGTGTTTATGCCTGTTGATTGAAATTTCGATTTGCCCTACTTGATGCGATTCGCCGGACTGCACTTCCACCTGATATTTCTTTACTGCAGGGACGCTCGAAGCTTGCGACTGTGGGTGCAGCAGTGTCGTCAAAGGAAGCTTTTGGAAGTTCGAATGTTTCGGTGTTCAATATTTTAGGGTTCTATGAACAAGCTGCTGATGTTATTGGAAATGTGTGGAGATCCGTTCATATATCTGTTCTTGGTAAAAATGGTAGATTTGTAACTTTGAGTGCACATCCATTTGAAGTTTTCAACACCAAAAGTTTTTTATCATGGCTAGTAAAAAGAGATAGAATAGACCTAAAACACTAATCATGCTTAGTAAATAAGGGACAGATCTGACGTGGAAATTTCTTAGGATTATTTGCTCTAATCCTTTCCTTGCTAGTAAACGAGGCCTAGTAGTATAACCTACGAGATAAATGAGTATGGTTTTTATCTTTTTTTTCTTTTTCCATAATGTTGTTATCAATCTCGAACTATGATTTAAATTATGATATTTAAGTAGAAATATTATTGAAAAAGTGAACAATGTACCCAAGTCTAGGCTATGTTTGAAAAAACTAGTTGATAGCTGATAAATTAACTGATCGCTAATAAGTGAATTTCGAGCTTATAGTAGATAACTTGGCTTATGACTGGAAAGTTAGCTTATATTATAAAAATAAAAGTATTTGGTAAAATTAGCTGAGTTGAAATGAAAATTTCAACGACTTATTTGAAAAACTACCAAGAAAAAGTTATGAAACAGACTTAAACTATGTTTGGTAAAATTAATTGATAAGTTAGCTGATAGCTGATAAGTAGCTTATAGCTTATCAGTAATTTTTTAACTTATAGCTTATAGCTTATGACTTTTAGCTGAAAAGCTAACTTATATGATAAAAGTTTGGTAAAATTAGCTGATAAGCTAGCTGAAATAAAAAATTTAACTAGCTTATTTGAAAAGCTACCTAAAGAAGCTTATCAAATAAGCTCGAGCTTTTTGAAAAAGTTCATCCTATCAAACAAAACTTATTCGAATACAGAGAGTTTATAAGCTAACCAAATAAACTATAAACTAGCTTATTTGTCTATCAAACATAGCCTTAAACTTTTTAAACTCATCCTCTAAACCAAACTTATTTATATACGGTATAAGTTATCACTATCTTACTATGCTTACCAAATAATGCTTATTGTTTATTTAATTTCCACATAGGATGAAAAAAACGTTGAAAATACGAGAGGAAACATAGGTAGAGAGAAGGGAATTGAAGAGCATCACATCGGCAATACTCCCTTACAGTCTCTTTATTATCTCCACCAGATCTGCACCATTTCTAATTTTCTTTGCTCAAAAATTGATATCAGTTTCACATGATGATTATGATGTTTTACATAAAATCCTGCTGTTGATCCTTATCGGAAATGTACACACTCATCAAATATTTTCCATAGTTCTGTTTCTCTTCTCTCTCTCTCTCTCTTTTTGATGGGGAGAGGGAGGTTTTTGCGGATGAATGATGATGGCGGAGGCGAATATCTATGGACGGGAATGGTTGGATCATCTTCACCATCGAGATCGCCGCCGATTTCGTCTCCGCCGCCCACGGTCGGCGTCGGCGTTGATGATGGGGTAAATTACATACTCCACACCGTCACGAAATTCGATACGCTCGCCGGAATAGCCATCAAATACGGAGTTGAAGTATGGATACTTACTTGTTATCAATAAATATAATTGCATTCCTATCCGGCTTGTCATTGATTTTTATAGTTGATCTTGAAGACAGTTTTACGGGTTTTATATCTTCTCCTATTTCATTGGAATCACGTAGCTGCCTTTTGAGGCTTTGTGTGAAGCTAAATGAAAGAACAGCTAGTTTCAGTTGCATATTTGCCCTCAAGGGGTTATCTATATCTACATTGATTTCTACTAGCTTTTTCTTGCATGCCAGATTTTTTTTTTGTTAAAATCTAGGAGATTCTGCTACGATCATCGAATAGGTATTTGTGATTTGCTGTGTCCCGAACAATTTGCTTATGCATATCTCATATTTGTGCTGTTGATTCTATATTTAATGCTTTGTTTGGGCTATGGAGATTGCTTGTTTCTTGTAGTTATGACTATGTACTTTTTGTTTGGGGTGTGTTTAGGTAGTAGACATAAAGAGGCAAAATGGGTTGGTGACAGATCTCCAAATGTTTGCTCTTAAGACCCTCCAAATACCATGCCCTGGCAGACACCCTCCTTCCCCAAGCTTGTCCAGTGGGCACGAAACTCCTGCACGGTACTTCTCTCTCATTATCTACTCTTTGTTTATCATATTTGAAGTTCCCACGAAATTTTCTTGTGGAGATAATCATCAGAAAAATGTATAATTTTTGCTATATTTTGTGATGATTTATGTTCTTCTTGCTAATGAACATAAATGAACTACATGCTTTCAGTGTAAATATCATATCGGTTCTTGAATTCGTCATCGTAGATGTCTGTGTTGTCTTATTCTGGATGCACCTCTTACGCTTATCTAAATGTCCCCTTCTGCTAGAATTCTGAGATTTACATTGCTTATTGGCCTTCTATTCTTTTTCTTGTTTTTTGTGCTCGAGGAAAAATTTGATTTAGTCAAGTTGCAATATCTTTTTAGCTAGTGTAACCGGTTGAGCATGGATCTGTTTATCAATAATCATGCATTGCCGGAAATCGTTCTTACCTTAGGCTATTTAGTTGAGCATGGTCTAACGCGTAGAACCTAAATGCAGTGTCAGAAAATTAAAAAATCTTTGCATTTATCCCAAAAAAGATTATGACGTGACTTAGTTATTGATATCCACTTGCAGGCCAGGCAGCTCTCAGCAGTCCGCATCTAGCCGTAGATACTCCGATATATTCGATTCGTTTCAATCACTAAAATTAAAAGCTTCTTCGGATGAAAAAGTTTCACCGGCTATGAGCCTCTTGCGAGGGTATTATGGTCTCAAACCAACCGAGCCATTCTCCGGCAGATCATCCTTTCCTACTTCCAATCCCCCACTCAGCCACCATAGAAAATCCAAGAGCGCCGCAAACTGTTTATTAGCTTCCGAAAACGGTCATCTCGTCGATCGGCTCATGCCTGAAGAACCCGAAACTAGCGACTCGATCGAAAAGCATATCAGACGGCGCCAAAAATCTGTTGCCGATTTCAGCAAATGCACCACTCCAGAAAAAGTTCTGAAGGAGGAAAACACTAACGGAATCGCAATATCATCGATCACTGGTAAAGGCTTGGCCCTCAGGCCCAAGTCTTCGGGCCGGGCTGCTGATGGTGAAACGGGCCCTTTTCCTTTGAGTTTGGGGGATTCTCTCTTAAATGACAGTGGGAGTTGTGTGAGGAAGTCGTCGAGCACGTCGAGTTTGCACGACTCGGAAAATGGGGCATTGTCGTCAATTTGGCTGACGTCTAAGTGGAGTTTGAAGCCGGACTTTCAAGCTTTTTCGGCTGCAGCCATTGCTAGGCCCATATTTGATGGCCTGCCTAAACCGTCTAATCGAAAGAACAAAGCGGCACTGGATTAGGTTAGTTAGTCTCTTTTTTCATATTTATTGTTTCTAATTGATGAAATAGCAAAAGGATGATTCGTGGTAAAGAAAGAAATAAAACGTTCGAATCTCATCGGATAGTCTTCTTTTATTTTATTTTTTTTTTTCCTTTTTTTTTGTCAAAGATTTAATTTTATGCTCTTTTAAGTGGACTGTAATAGAGCATGTGAGCAAGCAGCCTTGGATAGGCGTATGTATATTAGACTTTTGGGTCTGTTCACTTTGATGATGGAGAAAAAGGCATGTATACATATCATGATTTATACAAATTTGTATTGCTTCAGATTGTCTGGTGCCAGTTGAGTAAAACTGAAACTGGTATTTATTCTGTAAAAGCGAATTCATAAAGAGAAGTTAAAATTAATTGAGTGAGCATATGTCAAACTTGTCATGTGATTTCATAAAGAATAATTGAATGAAAATCTTTGAAACGTGCAGATGAGGTTGGTCGGTAGGGTGGTTGAAAAACAGCTAGAAGAAAGAAAGTCGGAAATACTTTAATGAAAATCTAAATACAGATTTGTATTTTTCTCGCCGAAATTATTTGGACACCAAATTTTATTATGAATCTGATAAGTTAAGCTATTCAATATCACGTTTTATTGTTGACA